ACAAAGTCCGAAGCATCCGTTTCTACCTCAAAGTCCTTACCAAAGTCTGGTAATGCCAACACGGGAGCCTTCCCCAACTTCCCTTTGAGGTGGACGAATGCCGCCTCGCATTCTACTGTCCATACCATCTTCCCTTTTCCTGTTTGGTCCGTTAAGGGTAAGGCTACTCTTAAATAGTGTCTGATAAACTTTCGGTAGTAGTTGCATAGCCCCAAGAACGCCCTCAACTCATGTACATTCGATGGTCGTTCCCATTCCTGGATCGCTTAGACCTTCTCCGGGTCCACCTTGAACCCGTCCTGGCCCACCACATGCCTGAGAAACTTTACCTCTTGTTGAGCAAAGTCAAATTTGCTCTCTTTAGCATATAGTTTGTGTTCCCTTAGTTTCTCAAACACCTTTGCCAAGTGTTCGGCATGCTCCTTTAGCGTCTCACTATAGATCAGGATGTTGTCGATATAGACGACCACGAAGTGATCCAGATATGGTACAAAGATGTGGTTCATCAGCACCGAAAACGTTGCTAGCGCATTGCATAGCCCGAAGGGCATCACCAGAAACTCAAAGCTCCCATACCTCGTTCGACAGGTTGTCTTCTCGACATCTTCCTCAGCTACCCTAATCTAGTAGTATCCTGACCTTAGGTCAATCCTCGAGAAGTATTTTGCCTTTCCCAACCTGTCGAACAGGTCCTCAATCCTTGGCAAAGGGTACTTGTTCTTCTTTGTATACTTGCTGAGCAACCAGTAATCTATGCACATGCGCATAGATCCATCTTTCTTTTTTACAAATAACACCGGCACCCCATATGGCGACTTGCTCAACCTAACATACCCTTTGTCCACCAACTCCTCTAGTTGGCACTTGAGCTCTGCGAGTTCTTTTTCGTTCAAACGATAGGGGGGATGAACCACCGCCTCAGCACCCTCGACCAGCTCAAACTTATGTTCTATCGGTCGTGCGGGGGGCAACCCCACCGGTAACTCCTCTGGCATGGTATCCTGGAATTGGTCCAACACCCGTCGGATCACTAAAGGTACTTCTTCTGTTCCTGTCTTTTTGTCACTCTTCACCAAGAGTAAGCACAAAAATGCTACATTAGTTCCTTTAGTGAGTTGTCCTCTCGTGGGCACCAGGTTTAAGTAGGATTCTTTAGCCTTGCTTTGCCCTACCTTTAGATCCTGGGCCTCCACTCTAGATCTTCTTCCTTGGGCATTCGCCAGTACCACAAGGTTTCTACCTTGTCCATGCAGGGCTACCACAAACCAATTGAACCAATCCATTCCGAAGATCACGTCAAATCCCGCCATGTCTAGCACGGTGAAATCCATGTCTACTTTCCATGTCCCTACTTTGACTCTCGCTTGTCGAAGTACCTCATCGGTGCTTTGGCTACCTTGAACAAACTCTATAGTCCTTGGTTCGCCTAGCCGCTGCACCGTTAGTCCGGCTTGCCGGACTATGTCTACAGCCACAAAATTATCCGAAGCACCCGTGTCAATAAGGATCTTAACAAAGCTACCTCCGAGCTTCCCTCGGAGGGCTAGTAGATGTCGCGAACGACTCTCTACCAAAGTTGCTCGTGTAATGAGTAACTTTGAGTTAGGGACTGGATCGCATACCTCAGTTTGGACTTCACCCGACTTGATGGCCATCTTGGCTCTGGCCTTCTTCGGGTAGGGACATTCCCTTGAAAAGTGTCCCGCTTCACCGCAGTTGTAGCATACGTTGTTTCCCACGCTACTATATGACTTGACCTTCTTATCTGTCAGTTTGTCCCTTTTCGCTTGACTCCCCCACGTACTCGTTCGCTGGCCACCGGATTTGCCTTTCCGGAACCCCGAGGACTCATTCTTAGAGAAACTCTTCTTGAATTTCCCTCTGCTATACGTTCCTCTTGGTTTGGCCCCTTTGCTAAACATGGATCCCGACCCCGTCGTGTTCCCCTTTCGCAGGTTATCGTTGAAATGCACCTTGATGGCCGCATCCAACGCTTCCTTGTAGTTGGTCGGGTTCCAGCGCATCATCTCACCGCGAGCCCAGGTTTGCAAACCTGATATGAAGGCATGGAACGCATCCATATCCCCCATGTCCGTGACAAGTATCCTCTTTGCCATAAACCCATTCACATATTCCTGGATGGTTCCAATCTGCTTCAGCCTACTCAGCTCATCTCTCAGATGCAGAGTGGCATTTGGTGGAACATATGTTGCGCGGATGCTTGCCTTCATCATGTCCCAAGTGGCCACTGGTCCTTCGTTGGCCTCCGTCGTTCTCCACCAAGACTTGGCATTATCTGCCAAGTATGGTTTTGCACATGGGACCTTCTCCGAGCTCGGTAATCGCAACGCTCGGAAGTAGTCCTCCATATCGTAAAACCAATCCTCCACCACCTTATAGTCATTCACTCCCTTGAAGACCAGTGGGGGCTTTGGTTTGTACTTGGGAACTGCCTGAGGGACTGATTCTACTTCACTCTGTTTGACCTTGTTTGGTTCTGCCTCAGTCCCTGCCGAAGGGTCCACACCTTCTGCACTGCCAGCATCCGCAGTCTTTCTCTTTTTCTTCCGCTTCTCGTCACGCTTTAGCTTGCATACGAGAGTCTCCAACAGGGCATTGGTCTGTGCCAACTGTCCTTCTAGCACGTCCAATTGAGTCTTGGACAACCGAACCTCGCCACCGGACTCCTGTTTGGAAGTTTCCTCACTAGAGTCCTCCTCATGCAAGGATTCCTCATCCATAGCCTCTTGTTCGACCAGAGGCTCCAGCTCCGGTGGAGGTTCCGTCTCCACCTAGGTTCGCTTACGCCCTGCCCTTGCCATCTCCCAGCAATCCGCCTCTATCCTTCGCTAGAACTGAGGAAAACGCTCTGATACCAAATTGTAAGCCACAAATTTTTCCTTTCCAATTTGCCAGCTTACCTCGTCTATCCGACCAACACTGCCTTGGCTTGTGCTAAGTTCCCTTGCCAAGGTTCTCGCCTATTGTACCAACTCGTACTTGGTCCTACTTGGTTTCAGCTACTCACTACACGAGCAACGGAGTGTTAGCCATCCATCTACGGATTCCCAATTCTCTCCCAATCCCCCTCCCCGAGTTAGACTGGACTTAAGGTTCGGCTACACTCCCCACAGGCACAAGCATCCAAGCACACCAAGCCTCCAGGTTCCTAACACCCCTTGGTACAACAAGACTTGATCATGGGACCCTCTAAATCCGAAGCCTTGGGTGCAGCACTTGCTTCGGGACGTCGGGGCAAAACACCGTGGCCTAACGGCTCGGTATGGGTACCTCTACCCCCCCACTTCCATCCCGAAGGGAAGGCCCAAGCCCCTAGGAAGGGCGAGGACCAATGAGCCACAAGGTACTCAAGTGGGGCACCACTCCACCTGAGCCATGAGCACAGCAATCGGTTTCCCTTTTGGGAGTGGGAGCTGCTTTTGAACACTTCCCTGGGTGGCCCCTCCGGCACCACCCAAGCCCATGCTCACTCCCACCCAAGGCCCCTCGGCCCCAGTCTCAACCTCAAGTCAGTTTGGAAGCACCACTGGAGAGTTCCTTCAAGACTGGTTCCTGGACCTCACTATCCCTACTATACTTTTGGAACCCCCTGCCCCCCTGGGAGACGCACGCTTTGGGCTTTCACCCCTTGACCCGTATTAGTACTCGGACTTAGTCTCTGGCTCGATCTCGGACTCGATCTCGGATCCGACTTCGGATTCGGTCTCGGACTCGATCTCGGACTCGATCTCAGACCCGATCTCAGACCCGACCTCGGACTCGACCTCGGACTCAGTCTCGGACCCGATTTCGGATCTCAGACTCCGTCTTGAACTCGGTCTCGAACTCGGTCTTCGAGTCGGTCTCGGACTCGATTCCAGACTCTATCTTAAACTCGGTCTTAGAGTCGGTCTTGGACTCGATCTTAGACTTGGTCCCATCCGATGAACTCTTTATCATTTTGGTCATGCTTTTGGGGCTCTTTTAGCCTACGACACCTTGGCGAGTTGGTTCCTTACATGCTAGTGGAGTTAACTAGGTATTTCGAGTGTACCTAAACTGGATGAGCATAAGGATAGAATTCCTACATATTATTAACTAAACATACTTAGCCTAGTAAGGAGTTCTCGTCTCATTATGTCTTGCACTAGCTACTGACAAGAACCCTTACGTATTGAGAGTAGTCCCTCAATATTGCTGGATGATGGCTTATTGTGTTTGCCAAACACCCTCGCTATCATGCCCTTTGTGTTAGTCTCATTTTGGTCTTAAATGCTATTTATGAAAAGTGTCTAGATTTTCTCATTTGATATATCTAAAATGTAGAGATTGTCCTGAATGCAATGGTGTTTGTCCCGTGTCCAAATTCACAATCTGACATTCTATATTTAGTAAGCTTCAAGCTTGTCCCAAAGACTAAGTCCTGGTACTAAGGGAGGCTTGGGGTGAAATCCCAAAGCATGTGTTCCTTTGGGGGGGGTAATGGGGGGTTTCAAATGTATAGTAGGGATAGTGGTTGAAATGCATGTCTGACCAACTAAGACATTAGTTTGGCTCTTGCTAGGCTGTGTTGCTCCTTGTTCTGCATCTGGCTTGGGTCAAAACCCAAGCTCCATGTTGCTTTAGTCAATGGGGTACCCTCCTCCTCGCGTTAGGCCACTAGTATGCCAAAATTGTGCCAGACACTATTTAACACCATTTTGTATGCAAGTGCTACATTTGGGGAGCTGGTGGTCATGGGATTATACCAAACCCTTATTTTGTAGCACAACCGCTTGGAGTTCGGCTCCAAATTCAGGTGCGCTACATTTATAGAAGATGAAAAGTCTACATAATTGTGGTTTTTACTAATCAATGCTTCTAGCCCCTCTCAACAACTGTCAAAATACTATATGGGTAGATGCTTTTTCCACTATGTATGGAAGAACTCTTCATATCACTAGCCTATGCTCCTCAATAAAATTTGTCAAAACCAATTTGTCATTGCTCCTACTATCCAATTAAACCTGCACTATACCACTATAGAACACACTCTCCAGCATTAAAGCTGATGCACAAGTGTCTTCAGCCTCCACCTTGTTCTAAACATAATTGAATTGATAAGCAATGATCAAGAGCTGATTTCTCTTACCAAAATAGTCCTCATCATCTTTATGCTATAGATTTTGCAAATTCTTAGTATCTGACTTATTGTCATTAGAAGATTGACCATTCTTCTTATTGTGCTGTCATTTCTTTAGTTATGAATAATAAGTTTTATAATGTCTAAGCTCACTACAATGACGACAACTTTTCTTCTTTGACCCCTTTATACCCAAAGTAGCCACTACAAATATTAGCTTATGATGTTTATTCCTATCTTTATGTTCACATAGTTCTTGATTGAATAACTTTTTGAATGTTTCTGTGATATGTACTTGTCATTGTCAAGACAACAAGCCACACATTTCGGTCCCAAATGCTATTTATGGAAAGTGTCCAGATTTGCTTTTGCTCATTTGGCATATCTACGGAATGTAGAGATTGTTCTGAACACAATGGTGTTTGTCCCGTGTCCAAATTCACAGTCTAGCGCCATTCCATATTTAGTAAGTTTCGAGCTTGTCCCAAAGACTAACTCCTGATACTAAGGGAAGCTTGGGGTGAAAGCCCAAAGTGTGTGTTCCTCAAGGGAGGGGGCGGGGGGGGGGGGGGGGGGGGGTTCCAAATGTATGTAGGGATAGCGGGTAGATTGAGCATGGCCGACCAACTTAAGGCATAGTCTAGCTCCCGCTTGCGTGCCTGTCCTTGTTCTGCATTCAGCTTGGGTCTAAGCCCAAGTTCTATTCCATGCTATCTGGTGAAGTACCCATGTCCTTGCATTAAGCCACCGGTATGCCGAAATAGCGCTAGACTCTATTTGACTCCGTTTTGCATGCTAGTCCTGGCATTAGGATGCTAGTTACTCTAGGATTGTTCCAAGTCACTCCGGGCTCCTGTCCCTTCACTCCTTGGGCTGTATGCTCGGGAGTTGCTCTATGGTCCGATTCCATCACTCCTTGGCTCCATGCTTGGGAGTTTGGCACCATTCCTTCATTTAGTGGCCCAAGGCCCTGAACCTCAGGTTCTGCACCACTATCCTTTGGACATGTGGCATATGACACGTGGCATAAAAAGGGTTTAGGTTCCGCTTCATGGTGTTATCCTATGGTAAATCACCATAGGATAAAAGGTCAAAACAACATGTGCTACATGTTCCAGGAATATCCAACCATGTACATGTGTAGACTTGGATTCAGCCAATGTGGTGCTGCCACCTGGACAATGCCTGGTTATATACAGCCACATACAACCATCCGTGCATGGTTTACAGATTGCATGCCATATCTAGACCTCATCTTCTGTTCTTATGGACACAGTTACCATTGTCTTTTCCACTTGAGACTGTCTCCATAAGTACAACTTGTTTGCATGAGGTTTGTGAAATGCAGTTGGTCTGAAATGTATATCACACTGTAGATGTTTTGAGGCATATCATTCCTTTTATTTGTTACAGCTGTTTTACATGGCAGCAAAGGGGTGTCTGAAGCTGCACCAGGCAGTTCATTTGGGACGTTACATTTGACGACTGGCTTGTATGTACTGCTACCATTCAAAGGTTTGAAACCTCTGACATGGTGAAGAGACAACCAATGGCAATGCAGGAATTACATCAGAATCCAGGTAAAACTTTTCTTCAAACCTACCTTTTCGAAGTGCAAGAAATCATGAACAAGTATTAGACTCACGGACCTTCACAGGTAATCATTGTTTTGCTTTCAAGTTCTTGGTTATAGCATGGCATGTTTTAATTGAGTACCAATCTCCTTTGGCCAATCGCCAGCACTGTCTTGCACTCTTCAAGGCTTGACAGTGAAACATCTTGTTTACAACCCTGTGAATGAATTTTCACTCCTGCTGAGAACAGTCATTAGTTTTGAAGGATTATGTGGATTTCCAAATTTATGTTGGAGTCAAAGATTGCATGCATATTAAATTGAGCTTCTTCGTGTTTCTGATGGACAGGAGTTTTTTACTTAGAAAAAAAGCGAGCATAAATTAGTCGATAGCCAAGCAAGATTTTGGACATTCAAGATTCAAGTATTCTGGATCTGCAAAAGGTTTAGTAGTAAAGCACAAATTGATGGCCACCATCTGCTACCAAGTACTTCACAGATCGTGATAGAATGGAAGTTCGTAGGAAAAAACTACTTTAACTACACTTCTACATGCATTCCATGCATGCGGTCCACGAGCTCCTTGTCTCATTCTCCTGCTTTTGAATGTTGATGAATGTCGCTTTTATATATTCCCACTTGTTGCATAAATACTTGAGTCATCCACTTCTAACAAGCATCGCCTTTTTTTTCTTCAGTTTCATGAGCAAAAAAAGAAAGAAATCCAAAACTTTGCTACTTGATTTTGAAGTGTATATATACTTGTGCAGCTGTTTGGCCCTTTCTTTTCCCGTGTTTTGAGCTTGATAACCAAGCTCCCCACATTCCTTTTTTGTGATATTTCAAAAAAGAAAAATAAAAACCTCTCGTCAATCCTGGGCCCGACTTTGACCTCCAGAAAACACCTATGAGGTTCCCGGGTGGTTATTACTCGTGTTCCGGAGAATTCCAGGCCTGGCCTCCATGTTCATAATGCCCTTTCCCAAGTGTTAAATTTCTAGAGGTGCTGTTAGAGCGCTGCTATTGTCTTGAGATAATGTAGTGTCTTAGGTGATCCTTAAGATGAGAATTTACATCCACATACATCTTTTTTATTTTATGCCATTCTCATTAGTGGAAAACCCGCCCCAGTTTGGAACGTCTTTCTTGGTTGGAAAACATTTTAAACATCTAAAAACCTCCGCACAACAAAAAAAAATAGCTTACTGTTAAGGTTGTTCATCTTTTTTTAGAAATATGACTGTAATTGTGAGCTACCTGTGAGCAATAACGTGCTACTGGCAGTTATCAAATCCGAAACGAATGCCTCTAAAAGATTTTGCTTGAGATTTGAAAATGGAATCCACAAACACTCCATCCATGCTAAAAGGATCCCCCAAACACAACACATGATTTTTCTACGTTAAAGTTATTGAAACTAAATGCATGTATGACATTTATCAGATAGTGAAGCCTGCTGAGTAGCTTTGTCTCCTAAACTTGAAAGCTTACCTTGCTGAGTGCAGCAGCAATAGCTTCACAACTAGTTGCGACAAGATTATTATTACTCTCAGATGGGACAACGTCTTCTCTAGTCCCAGTCGTGTGAACCACATCTTCCTTGCCAGCAGCTCTGTGAGGAACAAGGCCTGTTAAGACAATAATCTTATGGATCCCGGATAGCAGCTGCTCGTAATCGGAATCACCGGTCTCACCAACAAAAACAACAGTGTTTCCTATATCCATTCCCCATCTCACAAACAAGTACCTGACATTATGCAAGAAAATGAAATACTCTCTATACATGTTTCAGATACCTTATGGCCTGGGAACGAGAGGCCAGCAATGGAACTATGTGAAGCTTTGTGGTATTCAGGCAGTAGATAATATGACACCTTAAGCCACGCATTCTCAAGAGGCGACGGTACTCATCCACTTTCACCATCTAATTCACAGATAAATAGCTAACAGACAATGCAGGACAAGTTAAAGACAATGTTAACTACTTACATTTGCGGTATTGACCCGATAAGCAACGCAGTGCGTGCTAGAACGCAGTTCCTCCTCAATGATTATTGGCAGGTCTCCAGCCTCTGAGAAAGTAAGCCTGCTCATTGCCTTCCTTATCCCGTCGCTATTCCAGTGATAATCAATGTGATGATCATAGTCATAATCTGGCACCAGGTGCACCTGACTGTTGAAGCTCATTGAAGGATAGTACAGCGAAGCACCACTGTTGCAAACCAAGGCATCAAAATCTGTCACGGGTATTCCATCTTCTGCAAGCGCTGATAGGGTCTCTGAAGCTGTCATGGCCGTAGAAAGAATAAAGCCCGTTAACCCCATCTTACAAGCTGTGAATATCTCACGAACTGCAGCCAGCATGTTCTTGGAAGCTTTATTGCTGTCGTAGCTGTCTATTGCTAGAACACACACTTTTTTTCTTCTCCTTAAGAAAGGGAACTTACAATTTTGCAACTTCTCCAGCCCAATAAGTTTCTGTTCCGTAGCCACTATACTTAGTTGTTTGTCATATATTTGCTTGCCCTTCTCAACGTTCTCGGGTACTTCTCCATCGTCAGATAGCTGTAAAGATATGTCTTCCACATCCTTTAAAGAATCTTCCTGGGAATTGTCCTCAGTACTATGATTAGAAAAATTGTTTTGCCATAGCGGCTGTTTCCTTTTGCAAAGAGATATCTTTGATAGATATGTTTTGCAATGTTCAGGCCATGAATACATGTGAATATTTTTTAGGCCGTTACGACGGCATTCTCCCCACAACAAACGATCGGCAACAAGTTTGATCAATGCAGTTGCGATGGCTTGCTCATCGTGTGGATCCACAAGAACTCCATTACTCAGAGTCTTTAATAGAAGACAAAACTCATTAATAAATTTAATGAAAAATACTGACTCACCTTTTGAATATCTACTGGACCTCCATTCATTGTAGCAACCATAGGTAAACCATGTGCAGCTGCCTGTGCACACGGTTTATGAAACCAGAAAACAGGCAATACTAGCAACAAACCTCAATAAGGGTCAAACCAAAGGGCTCCACCAGTGCAGGGTTGATAAATACGCCCTGCTTTCATAAGGTTCACTAATTTTTTTCTTTTTAAAAGGAGTAATACCTTAGTTTTGGCAGCTAGCCGATAAATGTCTGGAACTTCATTTTGCTTGTGATGTTTTGGGTATGCAACTTGACCATAAAGATCGTACTTGTCTATAAGTTTAAGGACAATCGTGAGTATATTGGAGCTTGTGCCTGGCATTGTATCGATGTCATCTCTGTTCCCCATTATTAATGTCTGTACATAATTGACCATGTAAAAAGACATTGTCCATCTAAAGTTACCTCTACCATATTTGCCAATTCCCGTAGCGGCTTGCTTTCTCCAAAGGCTTTTACAAGCGTTGCTAGGTTCTTTTTTGGATCAGGTCGAGCAAGGGCCAGAATCATTGGCTTATGGGGGTTGGTAAAAAACTTCATAACCTGGTTTGAGCTGAGTGAAGAACCAGAAAAGCCATTTTCTTTACAAACCTCACTCCAAATAGGTGGTTCAGGTTTAGGAGATGGAGGCGCCACAGGGATGCCTTCTCCTTCTATTTCACCTTCTAGTATATCAAATGCTTCTTGGTCAACGCTTCTGAAATCCATTCCAGGTGCAATAACCTGCACTTCATTCTTGGAAAAGTAGCTTAAAGAAAATCAACTTACTGCCATGCGAGGCATGTGTCGGCCATGACAGCTGACGCCTCTTTTTATTCTAGCCCTCAAAACTTTTTCAAGCTTCAGATCAAAACCGTCGTATAATCCCCACTGTTCTTCAATTTCTTGTCTTGTACTAGTTATGACGAGTTCCGCAGTGTCTAAGGAAAACTCTTCAGCTTCTATTCTCCGCATAATTTTGTAGTTTGTGTTGATATCTGTCTTAGACTGCCGTCCTTGCTTCAACAGTTGTTCAAGTTTGTTGCGGCCCAGAGAATGACCTGTTAAGACCATTGGTACGTTCAATGCACCTGAAATCAGAGCAGCAATATCCCCTGCGTCGGCATAATGTCCATGAATCACATAAGGCCATACCGAGTCCCCACCAGTTATCTGTTCTCCTAAAGCTTTAGCCATGTTCACAATGTGCGTTAGCGACCCATCTACAAATTCTTGAATATATGGCCATAATAATTCCTTCCGTAGATATTGATCCCTCGGACCACAGGGAATGCGCACAATGTAGGCACCACTACTCTCTCCTACTTCGTCTCCGCAGCAGTCATAAGAACCTGGGGCTAACGTTTCTGTGGGCTCACCGTAGCTACGGTCAACATCTGGTGCCAAAATTTGACGAGTTAACAAATCCACGCGGTAAACTTCGGGCATCATAGCTAAAGCTCTTGCAAACTCCACAACATACTTGACCTATAGCTGGCGTCTTTCAAAGAAACGAACTCAACTTGGAAGTCAGTACCTGACCTCCTGTATCCGAGTCACGTCCAAGTTCCATGTTCTCCCCACGAACAAGTCCATGTAAGCTAAACCAACGTAAGTAAAATTCAGATCCACATGGCGTACCTGATCAAGACAATATACAGACACTTGTCTTTGTGCTGTCCTTCATTGAAACTTTTCCGCACATCTGTCTCGGAGCTATTTCTTGAGAGCCTAGTTCCAGCTATATCTGAATGTAGGTCTGCCTCTGGATGATCCTCGCACAAATCATCCGCAGCATCTTTTCGCCCTTGCTCATGCTCAAAGTGACGGTCTGCAACTCTTTGTGTATTTGCCCACTCAATCTGAGAAGAACTTCTGATGCTTCGTTAAAACATTTGCACCAAACCTGTTTTCTCTTGCGGCTTATATGCCATATCCTCCAACATAAATTCTCAAGCCGTGCACTCCTCTCTTTTGAGTTCCTACAAACAGTTGCCTGTAATAAAGAGAAGAGTTACTTATTTTTCCGTTACTCTTCAGTTTTGGTACCTTCATCCACGTCTGATGAATGTCGGTCTCATCGAAGCCCGAGACAACCTCCTGGATGAAATATTTAGTAGCATTCACAGCAACAATTCTTCGAGCAGGACTACTTTCTAATAGACGCTGCTGCTGATAGTCAATTGTTCCAGCAGTTCCTGTGTCCAATATTGCTTCCAAATAGCCATTAATCCACTCATTCCCCGCCATAAATAGATTTTGTTGCAAGAATGACAAGCTTTTAGGGTAAATCAGAACCGTTCTGAAGCTTACGTGTGTGACAAAGTGAAATGGAATTAAAGTTAACATTATTTCTATTCATTGATGCTGTTCAATCCGCCCTTGTCTAAACTTCTGCCTCCCATTTTGTGCACTTTCTTTTCGACAAGCCATTCTTGAAATCCCTGCAGCAAGAAGTGATCTCATCTGAGGGTCTGTCATTTTGAGTAATCGCATTACCTTAAGCCACGAAATGAGTTTTGCTTCACATTGCAGCAACAGCTTTCGCACGTTATCATCCTCAGTCTGAGAGAGAGAGAGAGAGAGAGAGAGAGAGAGAGAGAGAGAGAGCTGTGAGCAACCTGTGACAACCAAGACTTTACATACATTGTACATCTCCCCCTCGTGAATCTTATCCACGAGCCTTTTAGTTCCTCGAATAACGGAGATTAAAGAGGAAGCTCGCTGTCGCGTCCCAAACTTGTGAATTTTATTCATCAGTCGCTTTGTTCCTTCGACCATTTTCTTTAAGGTATCACCAAGAGCCCCTTTCTTTCTTCGCTGGCTAGTTGCACTAGGCTCGGGTCCAATTTGCCCAGCGATTTTCCATTTCATTTTCTGAATTCTCTCTTGTAAACTCTACATAGGGGAGTTGAGGATTAACGAGAAGCACATGATTTTCTCACCTTAGCAGACAGAGTTCCACTTTTCAGTTGATCAACAAGCTCTTTTAGCTCACTTGTAAGGTGGTCTAGGTAATCGCTGTTTCTCCGCAAGGTGACTACATAGTGAAATAATTCCTTCATTGTTGGAAAGCTCAAAGCTGATAATATTAACGGGGACACCTCGTGAATTTGACCAAGTGTAGCGATGTTCCTAGGAAGATCAGGCTGTACCATGCTGCAAGGGTCAGCGGGATAAATGCACCTGGTAGCAAATATACCTCACTGAACAAATTATGATATCTAACCCCAATTGGAAACTGCGCTCGCATCATCTGCAAATGCACCACATAAATTTAAATTCTACGGAATCCAGATGCACACAGCAAAAGAATCACGGCACGTTTATGTAAATAAAAACCTTACCTACTTCTTCCAGTGCCGATCTTGATTCCTCTCTCG